ACTCGTGCTTATTGCCTTCTTCACCCGACCACGCTGCCAGATTTGGTAATTGTGTAAGAGAGAATTGATTATTGCATAAAACGGTAGTTGTTCTGTTTACACTGTACAGCTTTTATAATGTTCACCAAATTTCCACCTAGTACCCACACAAACTACTAATTACAATATCTACCCAGAAAACAACAAAATTACACTTTTGTTCTATACTCTATCACCCCCCCCCCCCCCCCCCAAGCTGGAGCATGTATATCACACATGCCCAGCTTGCCCATCAACTCTACAAACCTATGTATCGGCAGTGATTTGGTAAGAACATCAGCAAGCTGGCTGTCAGTGGAAATGTAGAACAATTTGATCAGGCGAGCTGCCACTTTCTCCCGAATGAGGTGACAGTCAATCTCGATATGTTTTGTGCGTTCGTGTGCGACTGGATTCTCTGCAATTCTTATGGCATAAGTGTTATCACAATATAAAGCAAACAGATCAGAAAACTGAACATGAAGATCACTAAACAAGTAACTTAACCACTGCAATTCACAAGACAAATCTGCCATTGCTCTATATTCTGCTTCTGCAGAAGAGCAACTAATCGTTGTCTGTTTCTTGGAACGCCAGCTAATTAAGGACTTACCAAGGAAAACACAGAAACCAGTGGTTGACCTGCGAGTATCAGGACAACCAGCCCAGTCTGAGTCTGAAAAAGCAGACAAACCAAGAGCTGAATCGGAGGGGACAAACAGACCTTTGCCTGGATTATTTCTAACATATCTAACTAATCTATTTGCAGCATTCATATGTAAATCAGTAGGATTAGCTACAAACTGAGTTAAGTGATGAACATCATATTGTAGATCTGGTCGTGTAGTGCACAAATATAAAAGCCTACCAAATTAATCGTCTATAGGGAGAGGGATCAGAAAGTGGTTCACCAGAATTTGTAGAATACCGGACATTAGGTTCAGAAGGGGAATCTGCAACCTTCCCAGCAAGTAATCCAACATCTGCAATAATGTCTAAAGCAAACTTTCTTTGACAGAGAGTTAGTCCTTTAGAGTTTCTAGCAATTTCTAAGCCTAGAAAATAACGTAGGGGTCCTAAGTCTTTAATCCTGAAAGTATCATCAAGTTTGGACTTAATGGACTTCATTTCTAATAGATCATCACCTGTTAATATCACATCATCAACATAAACTAATAAGGCCAAAATTTTAGAACCATAATGTTTTGTAAAGAGAGTATGATCTGCCTTGGATTGAACAAAATCATTAGCTAGTAAAAACTCAGTCAGTTTTGAATTCCACGGTCCCCTTGCTTGTTTTAGACCATAAAGAGACTTTGTTAAGCGATAAACAGGTCTTTTAATATCAGAGGGAGGAGTTAAAACTTGAGGGATTTTCATATACACTTCTTCTAGAAGATCCCCATGTAAAAACGCATTATTAACATATAATTGCTCAATAGCCCATCCCTTGATAGAAGCTAAAGCTAATAAAGCACGAACAGTGGTCGTTTTAGCAACAGGAGAAAAAGTTTCTAAGTAATCTATACCCTTAGTTTGTGTATAATCTTTAGCTACTAATCGAGCCTTAAACCTTTCTAGAGTTCCATCAGCTTTATATTTAATACGAAATACCCATTTGAAACCTATGGCTTTATGAGAAGAAGGTAAAGAAGTCACCTTCCAGGTATTAGTGGCTGCTAAGGCATCAAGTTCAGCTTGCATAGCTGCCACCCATCGTGGATCTTTGATAGCCTCTTCATAATAGGTTGGCTCAACCTCCTTAGTCACACTCATGACAAAACTTTTGTAACCTGCAGCTAATTTGTCATAAGAGAGAACATTGGAAAGAGGGTATGTAGTGTTAGAGGATGTAGCCACTGTTGAATGACAAACAAAGTCCTTGAGTCTAGCAGGAGGCTTTGTTTGTCTTTGTAGCCTGCCAGCAGGGGCTGGAATATTAATATTGGGTATTTGCAAAGGAATATGTACATGATCATTGACCTGCAACATTCCAGAAGGAGGAACAGAAGGAGAAGCACTAGAAGTTTTAGGATCTATAAGGAGTTCAAAGTTGGGAAGAGTAGAATCAGGTGAATGTGAAGAATTTTTGTAGGGAAAGATATGCTCATGAAACACAACATCACTAGACTCAATCTGTTGATGTGTTTTTAAGTCAACAAGTTTAAACCCCTTGGTACCAAATGGATAACCTAGAAAAACACATGGAGTTGCCCTAGGTTCAAGTTTATGACGATTATGACTTAGAGTGCTAGCATATGCTAAACAACCGAAAACTCTAAGATAAGCCAGATCAGGAGGAGTGCCCTGTAGAAGTTCTAAGGGAGGTTTATTCTGTGTCAAAGGAGAAGGAATGCGATTGATGAGGTGAGTAGCATGAAGAACAACATGACCCCAGAAGTGAATAAGAAGGGAAGCTTGAAATAAAAGAGCACTAGCAACAGTGACTATGTGCTGCAATTTTCTTTCTACTCGACCATTCTGTTGAGAAGTTTGAACACACGAAGTTTGATGTAAAATACTTTTGAGTTGTAGAAACTTGGAATATTAAATTCCTGAGCATTATATGTTCTTATCACCTTTACTGTCATAGCAAACTGAGTAGAGACATATGAACAGAAATTAATAACGATATCCCTAGCTTCAGACTTATGTTTGAGAAGGTAAACCCAAGTTACTCTAGTATGATCATCCACAATAGCAAAGAAATAACGATGACCATCAACAGTGGGTTCCTTGTAAGGCCCCCAAACATCACAATGAATCAAATCAAAAGGGGCTTTACTAATAGAATCACTAGAAGCTTCTAACGGGAGTCGTTTCTGTTTAGCCAAAGGACAAACAGAGCAATGTATATGGTCATTAACAGTAATAGGAACAAAATTAGCATGTAAACCCTTTATTCTAGGAGTAGAAGCATGTGCTAAATGATAATTCCACAAATCAAACATAGAATGTGATGTATCATATGTTGCAGATAGCAACTGAGGGATAGCAAGACCAGGCAGAGAGTTGCCAGGTTGAAGGTAGTAAAGGCCAGAGACCTGTTCATCTATACCAATCGTCTGCATAGCTGACAGCTCCTGGATAAAACAAGCATTATGAATAAATGTCATGAAACGATTATGGTGCTTAGTTAACTTGCTCACAGAAAGCAAATTAAACGTGAATGATGGAATTAACAGCACATTAGAAATTATGAGATTATCATTTAAATGTACTGTTCCAATGTGAGTTACTTTAGAACCATTAGGTAAGCTCACAAAAGAATTATGCACAACACTGGAGGATTTAAGCATAGACAATGAGCAAGCCACATGGTCAGTAGCCCTAGTATATGCCACCCATGTTTGTTCAAGAGACCTATTTTTGTAAGTATCGGCTACGGATAGAACTACCTTACCTGCAACCTCATCATAAGCAGCTTGAGAGGCAGAAGAGGTAGTCTGTGTTGTAGTTGCATCCTCATATAGAGCTGAGGTGGAATGATCAGCAGGCAAAGTGTTGGAAACCACCATCAAGTTGATGGATCCCAGATTGGTAGCCTGCTGAGGTTGAATGAGCGATAAGAACGCCTGATATTGAGCCCGAGAGAGAGTAAAACCTTCAGCAGTATCCTCAGAGACATCTTCTGTAGACTCCCCAGCACACAGCATTGATTGCCTTGCCACCATCCTTGTATCCAGGTGGATATTCGTTCTTCTTGAAGCATTTGTCAATCATGTGACCAGCAAGCCCGCAGAAGGTACAGATAGGCCTCTTCGATCCATCCTTAGGACCTCGTCGATTCTGACCAGATGAAGAGGCGCCTTGAGTGAAACCTCCTTGAATAGAAGACGAAGGAGCATAGTTGCCTGCAAACGCCATGGGAGGCTGAACCGACGGAACCAGAGAAGCTCCATGTCGAGACTCGCGTTCTTGTTGAACGACCTGAGCAAACACACGATTGATCGGCGGCAACGGATCTAACTGGAGAATCTACGATCTGATCGGACCAAAATAATCACAAAGACCGCGAAGGAATCGAATGATCTGGTCAGCTTCAACATAACCACGAAGCCTTGTGAACGCTCCGCATCTGCATCGAGGAGTGCATGTACAGCCAGGCAACGGACGAAGCGCAAAGAACTCGTCCCAGAGAACCTTGAACCGAGTGTAATACTCTGTGACAGTGAGATTGCCCTACTTGAAGCCATAGATCTCCTCATGCAGATCTGAGATCCTGACCATATTCTCTTGACCGAAACGCTCCTGGAGATCAAGCCAAACCTCTCGCGCAGAATCAAGCCAGAGAATCGACTAAGCAATCGTCGGCTCCAGAGATAGATAGATCCAGCCTAAGACCATCAGATTGGCGCGCTCCCAAGCCGGAAGCATCGGATCAGCATCTCCAGGACGCAGAGCTTCACCATTGACGAACGCGACCTTGTTCTTCGCGAGTAGCGTCATCCTCATCGACCGCGCCCAGGACTAATAATTGCCACCATGGAGAAGTGTCGACACAAGCACAAGCGCCAGATTCTCGTTCTGATTGAGGTAGTAAGGATGATTGGGATCGAGAGTTGCTGGAAGAGGAATCACCATCGCAAAGCAGAGAGAAAGAAAACCAAAGAAACCAAGAATGAAACCCTAGTTTTGCTCTGATACCATGCCAGATGGCCTAAGTTCAGGTCCTTAAACCCACTTTTTTAAGGAGAATCTTAAAGCGTTGTGATTGGCTGCTACAAATTTTGGTAGTTAGGGAGGAGTTATTAGTTAATTAGTTGTTAAGGGTATTTAGGGAATTATAAGTAATTTAAAAACACAAATAGCTAACCCTAAACCCACGTCCCGTCTTTTTTCTTCCTCCAAGCCGAACCGTCTCTGTCAACGTTTTCGTCAATCTGTGTTCTCCGGCCGTCCCTTCGGTTGCGTTCTCCGACGTCCCTTATGCTCCCAGCAACAGTCTCCGCCGTCGGCTTGGTTTTCCGATTCTCCCTAAACTAGCTTCCGTTTCCACCAAAGCTGAACCCCATTTTCTGTTTCCGCCGTCGGATTAGTCGATCGCTCACATACTCCAGCGTAAGTTTGAGATGGTAGTTTACTCCCCGTCCGGCGACACGAGCGATGAAGTCCTCCATGTCCAGTATCACTAGCGTTGAAGGCCTTCCCATCCGGGCGTCGCTAGCGTTGTTCTTATTCCCGTCCATTCCGTCGTCAATCCCTGATCTCTCTGCGGCAGCGTCAAGGTGATTTTTGTGTTCATATTTTATTTCATATGTAAGGGTTTTCCAGGCCCCGCATGGGTGTAGGTTTTGGCATTGCATGGTTTAGGGTTTTGCGTTGATGTATATGTTATTGGCAAGTTTTGTTTAATGGGTGCTTAGGGTTTTTTACTTATACAGTTTAAAATCAATTTAAGGTTGAATGATTTGTAATCTTTTGAATAGTGATGGTCAATCTGTTTACCCGATATGTTAAATTAACGTTTCAACAGTTTTAGGACGGCGTTATTAACGTTTCTTCCGCGGGTATTAACTTTTAACTGCTATATTATTAATAGTTAGCATGCTCGTTATTAACGGGTTTTTTCAGTTAGAAATATTTAACACGACACTATAGTAATGTGCTTGTCGCCATTGTCAATCTTTTTGTTGGTATTCGAAATTGGTTTACAGATAAAGTTCATTCGAAAATTATGTCGCAATGGTTTTTAAAATCTCCAAGGGCGATGGTTAAAGTTTTTATATTTGTTCTATATTTGTACATTTCTCATCCCGCATTATCAAATAACATGTATGTTATTCAGGTTTTTTTTCTTACCCCACAGTATACAACCATACAAAAAGGTGATACATTTTCAACAATTTTAGGTTTTGTTTGTGACTTTATGAAATTGCATTATTAATGTTTTGTTTTATGTTATTAACATTTTCCGTTTGTATCTTTCGTTGTTCAAAAACGGGTTATTAATATATTTATATGCAATTTAAAATTTTTGGCAGTGATCCACAATATGCCGCGTACAAATAATACAGCGTGTAAGCCTGCATTGCTTGGTAACGCAATAACATTTTCATCTACGTCATTATCATTTTAATCTCTGTTAGTAACATTTTCACTTGTACACTTATCCACACGCAAATGTATTTCTTTGTCAATTATTAACAAACAGTGACGTTATTAATAATTATACCATTTCAAATTATTAATACACCATGAGGTTGAAGCTTTGCATCGTTATTAACATTTTCAGCACGGTCATCCATATTTACTTACGTTATCAACATTTTCAGCTACGTCGTTATCATTTTAACCTGCGTTATTAGCATTTCACCTATACACTTATCCACATGCAAATATATTTCTTTGTCAATTATTAACAAAAAATGACGTTATTATTAATTATACCTTCTCGAATTATTAATAGACCACGAGGTTAAAGCTTTGTACAAGTGATAATGTCAACAAACTACATTATCCATATTTTCACCTACGTTTTAACATATTTACTTACGTTATTAATATTTTCAATTGTTATTAACATATTTTCACCTACGTTATTAACATATTTACTTACGTTATTATCATTATAAGCAAAGTTAGTAACATCATAACCCAATTCAGTTATTAACAAACCAAGGTATTTCATGGATGATTAATCGATTATTAACAAACCATAAAGTTATTATTAATTATATTCCATTTAATTATTAACACACCATGAATCTACAAATTGCAGCCTAATGGATTATCTATATTTCCACCTACGTTATTATCATTTTCCCTTACGTTATTAACATTTTCAATGGAACACTTTAATACCAACATAAGCGAATATATAATAAACAAATGAAATACTCATAAAAAGCTTTCGATGATTCCATATGCCGGGTACATAGTCCACTTTGTCGTCGAGACGCCGGCGGCCAGGTTGCTTACTGGAACACTACGAGATGGCGTCGTGAGGACGGGAAGCCGACGAGAGGAATCAACAGCACGACGGCGTTATGGAGACTTGACGACGGGAGGAATCGATGGAATCGACGGCGTGATGGCAAGGGGAATTGACATCGACGGCGAGATGGCGACGTGACGACGGGACACCGACAGCGAGATTGCATACGGGAAGCCGACGCCGGGATCGCAGACGTGGCTTTGATGGAAACTGTTATAGGGTTGGGAGGAGTACAAAATTACGGAAATGAATTTTGAAAGTGAGGGTTTCTACACTTTTTAATTTTAATCATTAATATCATTAAATTTTTATTATATTCCAGTCTTACCCTTGTAGGTAGTTAGCTAATGATTACTAATGTTTCTCTCTCCTTCTCCTATTGGCTGGAATAGGTTTAAGATCCTCTTTAAGAAAGGGGGTTTAAGGACCTAATCTGATCCGATGCCAGATTTAGTAATTGCGGAAGAGAGAATTGATTATTGCATAAAACGGTAGTTGTTCTGTTTACACTGTACAGCTTTTATAATGTTCATCAAATTACCACCTAGTACCTACACAAACTACTAATTACAATATCTACCCAAAAAACAACAAAATTACACTTTTGTTCTATACTCTATCACACGCAACAAAAAGCTCGAACTCTCCCGTCTAGAGTTTAGTGATTCTAAGGTTTGTATATCCCCTTATTTCTTTGTATTTTCTTCCCTTTTTGACTCTTGTATCTCAAATAACCCGACCTGAAAATAGGAAAGAGGATTCGATTTTGGAAAGGAACAGAAAATAGGTATATGTCGAGTTTCTGGGGGGAACGTTTTGGATGGTACTAACTACTAAGAGAAGTGGGAAGCTTCCAAAGATGGGGCAGGGGTGGAGATTTAGAAGATTGTAACAAAACAAACTGACAAAGGACGATGATGGTGATAAGGATGAGCAGCGAGCAGCCCAATCCGACCGGCAGAGATTGGTGCGGCGCCGGAGCTTCGAAAGCCCTGAAAGCCTTGAAATCCAGATTGCGATTCTTCGGCGGTGACCAGTCCTATTGGTTGGAATACAAAAACCACATCGCTTACCTAAATCGAGAAGTGGCTAGGTCGAGGAAGACGACGACGGGGAATTCGAAATTGATGGCGGAGAGAGGGATTTGCGACAGCTTCTCCAAGGAGTATGGCGAATAACCCAGAAAAACACCAAGATCCCGCATCTGTTGCCCGCACACCCTTCAATTCAATCGAACGCGACGACACTGTGGCTGTGATTTCCCACGACACTGTGGCTGTGATTTCCCATCGGCGGTGAAAACTGAAAACGGGGGAGGGGAGAAATAGAGATTAAGTTTTATTTTTATTTTCTAATAGTTGTGAAAATGATTTGTAAAATTTAAATGATGAAAATTTATTATTTTTAACAGTCATGTAATTTATTTAACGATCAACTATGAAAGTTGACCGCCGCATCAGCAAAAATTAAATGAAGAGTGATCAAACTTAAACGGTTGAACTAATCTTAATAATAACAAATGGAATTAAATATTTGTAGTGACCAAACATGAATTTTTTTTAACTCAGTGACCAAACTTGCAATTTACCCCAAACTTTTCTGAATTGCTATTCGTCGCCCTAAAATTCAAATTTTATAACCCTAAAATGCATCAAATTGACAATCTTACCCTCTGAACCCAATTTCTACCCAAAACTCTAACAAACAATTCCTTATCCTGCCCAGATGCTGCGGAAGTGCGGACCTCGACCCGGCCGCAGCTGTCGCTGTGGGGTTCTTCTCTCCGGCCGTAATCACCTGAATCAAACCTATTTTTCACAAGGCATCGATGAATAGCTCTCCCGCGTGTTAAGGATTGTGTGGAATACAACACCGTACTCTCCAATCATTCTGGCGAGTAGAGTAAATGATTCCGTGTAATATCCTAAGCGAGAAAACCCAGATATCATCATATTGCAGGAAACGGCATTCTGTTGCGGCATTTCATCAAACATTTTATCTCCATGCTCAACCGCCCAACATTTCCAATACATCCTAATAGCGAATTACCAACATAAGGATCCTCCAAGAATCCAAACTTCAACAAATGCCCATGAATTTCCTCACCTTTTTCAATACTACACAGCCCACTGATCGCCTTGATCAAAGAGGGGAAGAACTGAAACTCCTGAACTGGAAACCCACTTTCAAGCAAATTCAGATATGCTATGATGTCATCTACTTATCAAGCTATTCGCCATGGATATGTCTTCTTTCCCACCGAACGTTAAGGCGGGCTGCCGGAGTCGATCCCAAATCGGAGGATATTTGAGTCATTCTAATAAAAATTAGGGCGACGAATAAGATATTTTAGGGCGACGAATAGCAATGCCCAAACTTTTTCATCTGAAATTTTGTGGCTTACGAACTACCCCATTTAGTGGAATCAATCGAGTCTTTGTACCACATTGGGTTGGAGTCAGTGTTGTAATCGTGCCCTGGCCCATGGTTACATCGTGAATAACTGAATTTGCTGCAATTTAAGAATGGAACTTCCGAGGCTTTGATGAAAAATATTGAACAAAACTCGTCGCTATATATATAGAGATACATACGAGTTCAAAGAATTATCTCCCTATACACTGATGATCACTGCAAAAACCACTAGAGAAACGGGACAGTAACACCAAACCAAGCAATGTGAAAGGCCTGGTTAAACTCGAGAGAGAGCAGCAGAGGAGCTTGCTTTCCTTCCTTCCTTTACAAAATCGGTAGCAGTTGCAGTTGCAGTTGCAGTTGCAGCAGCAACACCTGACTCTTAATCCTACTACCACATCCTACAACTCACTGTTCGGGCCAGGACACGTGCGTCAGTTAGTAGTAGTAGCCGTTGTCCTTGTGATTTGGTGCATCCTTGCAGAGCATTGAGCGGACTTCCATGATAGATCTTGGCGGCTCAACATCCTTGTCTTGAATCGCGTTCCCAAGTAGCTCCTGCATTTGCGAGGCAAAGGTATCGTCCAACACCTGCCCACCAAAGTTGATTGAAACCAACGCGTCAAGCATTTCTTCGGTAAGCCATAGACAGCAGCAGAGCATTTCAATAGTGATTAGTGAACTACAGTTTGGGGGGGCAATTAAGTTTAACTTACAGAGACTGCTACTCGTGAGCCTTTATACCACGACCTGTTCTCTTTTCTGTTCTCCATGAAACTCAGAACATCCTGCCCCATTCTGTCCCAATATCCGCGACATATTGCAATGAAAACATGAGTCTCGAATACCGAATGAAGGTGATTCACGGTATTGATTAGCTGCTCTTTCAGTGACTGCATTCTGCCCCTTATATCTGATTCTCCAACTGATTCTTTTGATTCCTGAAGAATCTTCTTCAATTTTGTCGCATTCTGCAACTTCGTCTGTTGTATATCAACAGAAGTTATAAGAAACAATAATCACATCAAAGACTGGCCACAAGGGACAATTATATGCAGTTTGTTCAATTTAAAATTTAAAAAAGCAAGACCATCTCAAGCGTAAAATATATAGCTTAAAGATGCATGACCAGACTTTGAATACCCACATTCTCTGCTAGTTTTTCAACCACAGCTTGAAGATAACTCCGAAACTTGGATCTCAGCATCACAGTCACTTCACTTAGACGTTCCCCGGGAACTGTGTTCCCGCCATCAGGCATGCAGGACCCCCAAGTCTTGAACCTCGCCTCAATCTTCGGACGCAAGATGTCTAACATTCTCTTCATTGAATTCAACAGAATTCCTAGCTGAAAGTGAAACCAACAATCACAATTTAAGAGCACAGCCATTTTTATTATAAAAAAATAGCAATTCACAGGATTATTATTAAATGGTACAACAGAATGCAGAAGAAGCACCTCATCAGGAACAGTGTAAGAACACACAGAACGTTTCGTGAGCTTCTTAACATAGTTAAACCCAAACTTCTTTGGTGCCAGGTTCTCTTTCATTGGTGCAAGAACATCAGCATACTGCTTGTCCAATGCTTCCACCACAGCCTTTTCAACATCAGCGATTGCCTATTTTCCCAAAACAGAGCCAGGCAACAACCAGTACAATAAGAAAGTCAATGGCATTGCAAAATTCTTGTACCACGTTCGGGGTTAAGACGCCACCCACAAAATTGAGAAGCAGACTTACTATAAACTTCTACTCAGTAACTAAATCAACATCATAAACTCATCAGCCATTCAGTTTCCGATAGTCAGATTCAATTGGGAGCATTTAATTAAGGACAGCTGCTCTAAGTACCATTTTTTCCGGTGTAGTGTCAGTTGCATGTGTTGTAGTTCAAAGTAAACGTTCACGCCATTTAAGCTCCCAATAAGGAATGTGTAGGTAAATTGGCCGCTATTCAACTGGAAAACTAAACGTTAAAAATACGTGGAATTTAAGCACCATTTTAACTTACATTTTCCAGCACGAAGATGTATTCTGGCCAGCGTCGGATAATGATTTCATATTCGTCCAATGTCTCTCTCAGCCTCTCGTACATATCATCAATAAAGGGAGTGGTAGAATGTTGTGTCCTGACACCTGACCACTTCACCTGCAAATTAAACGGAAAGAATTAAGTCATAAGCACGACCTCATCCTTCAAACACTCATCAGATTATGAATCAATATCATCTTCTGAAAGCAATAGACACAGATAATCCATTCATTTTTCTATATTGCAAGAGCATGTACCTTGTCTAATTTACAAGACTCGAGAAGAGAGAGCCGTCGGTCTTGAATCCATAGCATGATATACAAATGAAATAACTCTTTCGCATCAACTCCTCCTTTGACGGGACTAAACATAAAAGAAGAAAACTAAACTCAGTAAGCATGATGTCAATAAGAAACATTACAAAGTATAGCTGGAAGTGTCTCCTAGGGACAGTTGTAACCTGATGCTCCAGCTGGCAATCTCCCTCTGAAAATCTGAAGTTGCAATAACAAGTTCTGCTACATGAGGTGAAGGACCAGATGGGGGGCATGAAACAAGGAAAGCTCCCAATCTACTGCAAAGCTCGGTGCTGTATATGGATGCAGATAAGTTTGGAAGGTCTACAAAACTGCATGGCAGAGACATGAGACTGTTATGCCTTGGATGTTTTGGCCACATTCGAGAGAAATTATAGGAATTCAAGATAGCTATCTAAAGGCCAGCATATTCTATGAAGAATCATGACGAGCAAAAAGATATATCAGAAAAGTTGCAGGTGTGTAGAACATCTTGTCCAAGACATAACTATATTTTTTAAGGACTTAAGATATGGAGTTCTCACAGTTCTGTTCGTACAAAGTTAAAGGTTCTGAAGACACATAAATTTCTATAACATAAGGTTAGGCAATACTATTATTCCTTGGTTAATATCACTAAAGCCTAACCACTAGATTATTGTTAAGACTCAAGCAACTACAAGCAACAAATCAGTTATGGCATTCTCTCATTCAACGTTAAAACATAGGGCTTTCAGGCATTAGTGGCTGTATTTTAGACTCAAGGTTCAAAAAGGCGCTAGGCGTAAGGCGGGCGTTGAGTCTTTGTCTTGCGCCTAGCTCGCCTAGGCGTAGACTAAGCGTGCCTAGGCGTTGGAAGAAAAATAGTTATTCGCACTATATGATGAATGAAATAATAATTTACAACACTTATTCACTTCAGTGAAAATGATTAATAACTTACACAACACTTAATGACAAGAACATAGCTCACGAATTCATAGAATCATAGCTCAATAGCTCACAAAGTTCTTGAACTATTGAAAATATTGCAATGGAAAATTGATTTCATAGTTTATGTTAATTTGGTCTTTAATATTGACTTCCTAGCTCCATCTAGTAATGTTTAGGAGAGACTTATATGTCGCCTTACTTTATTGACGTGTTCCAGTATCAAATTAGGCGCGAAACTCCTAGGCGAGGCGTTTTGCCATTGCCTTGTGCCTAGGCGTGCCTAAGCGTAAGGTTAAGCGTGCTTTTTCGAACCGTGATTTTAGTATTGCCTATGTTATGGCCTTCTTTCAAGCAACGAATCAGTTATGGCATTCTCTCATCCAACTTTAAGATATGGAGTTCTCACTGTTCTGTTCAGACAAAGTTAAAGGTTCTGAAGACGCATAAATTTCTATAACATAAGGTTAGACAATACTATTATTCCTTTGTTAATCTCACTAAAGCCTAACCACTAGATTCTTGTTAAGAACTCAAGCAACTACAAGAAACGAATCAGTTATGGCCTTCTCTCATTCAACTTTAAAACATACGGCTTTCAGTTATGGCCTTCTCAGTTATGGCCTTCTCATCCAACTTTAAGATATGGAGTTCTCACTGTTCTGTTCAGACAAAGTTAAAGGTTCTGAAGACGCATAAATTTCTATAACATAAGGTTAGACAATACTATTATTCCTTTGTTAATCTCACTAAAGCCTAACCACTAGATTCTTGTTAAGAACTCAAGCAACTACAAGAAACGAATCAGTTATGGCCTTCTCTCATTCAACTTTAAAACATACGGCTTTCAGGCATTAGTGGCTGTATTTTAGCGTATTGGCAGACCAAGGACTTTGAGGTATTTGTTAAAAAGCATGATGTGGAGAGAAGCATATTGAATCATTAGCTAACAGTTTGATTGTGCAAAAGACATGATATCCATTATAAATGTCAATGCCAGGATATGCAGCCTCACTTCAAAGAAGTTAGTCGTGAGATTCAGGTTCAAACATGCTTGAAAATGAGAAAACTTGTTAAGAACTCAAGCAACTACAAGAAACGAATCAGTTATGGCATTCTCTCATTCAACTTTAAAACATACGGCTTTCAGGCATTAGTGGCTGTATTTTAGCGTATTGGCAGACCAAGGACTTTGAGGTATTTGTTAAAAAGCATGATGTGGAGAGAAGCATATTGAATCATTAGCTAACAGTTTGATTGTGCAAAAGACATGATATCCATTATAGATGTCAATGCCAGGATATGCGGCCTCAGTTCAAAGAAGTTAGTCATGAGATTCAGGTTCGAACATGCTTGAAAATGAGAAAACTTAAAAAGAACAGTTCTCGAGAGATTAACCAACAAAATTATCCTATCAAATACAAAAGAAATAAAGTTCGCTGCAATGCAAACAATCATGCGCCTACACATTATCAATGAATGGCCTATAACAGAAATATTTATACCTGGGAAGTATGTGTTGATTGTGGATCTCAATATCAGTGTGGATTTCATTTTTTATGTTCATACACAGAGAAGTCATCTTCTGATACGCGATGGTAGCAGCCATGGGGTCCATTAAAATTCCTTCATTGTTGTTGGTTACATATTCATCAGTTTCACTCAAATGCCTTCTTGACCTCTTTTTTGCAGCAACCTGAAGCATAGAAATAATTGTGATTGGAAGGAATTTAAAAGTAAAAAGGGACCACTAAGGATTTCAACTATTGGTACCTGGAAATAGTGAGTCAGCTTAGTTTGTGCCTCAGGAGACAATACATCATTAAGAAGAGTGTACAGCTTTACTGAAGGATCCAATGCAGGTGCTGCAACAGCAGTTGCAGGCTTGAAAACATCCATGATACCCGAAACTAATGTTTCATTGAGAGATTTGTAATTCTCAAAAACTAGAGAAAGGATCTGTTCAATCTGATCCTTGATCTCTCCCAAGATTCGGTTCTAGAAAGCAAAACAATTATACACATCAATTAGAAAAGTAATAGGAACAAGCATTATTGGACAAGTAAAACAGAAAATAGTGATGATACATATAATGATGAAAGTGACTTCACCATGATGGTTATGAAGTCATACGGGGAAAAAAACTTTGAACATACCTCTTGATGACTTAGTGTACTTTTGCTATGGCCTTTCATGATCACAGGCATTAGTAAATCATACACCAAAGTCAGGCAGTCTGCTGTTGGTGTAGCTACATCCATTATGTAGGAAAGGTACCTGTTGATAGCACAATCCACACATGCATTAAAGGACACTGGGCTAGGAAGTCATGGATGGATGAGGTGCAATAAAAATCCTATTTCAGGATATAAAACAGTATGACATGTTCAGAAAATCCAACATCTCATCAAATAATAGAGCATCACCTCAGTTTGGTATAGACATCAGAAATGCCATAATATATAGCAAATTCATTGAGAAGCCACTTCCACGAACCATACAACAACAGGTTCCGCTGTTGAAAATGTTGCGCCTTCATGGCAACTTCAAGGACAAGGTCATACGCAACTGTTTCTGCCACCGAGCCACACTGACAGTGATGAAAGACAAAAGATAAGTCAGTATTGCAGAAGCATTTCCAAAAACCAGTCAGTACCATTACAAGTTTCGATGAACATACGAGGAAATGATGACAAATTACTTGTGATCTGATGGTGAAATGTGTGTTTTATGTCTTTGAAAATAATCACATTACAAACATGTTGTGCATTCTGATTCTCCAGATAAATGCAATGGAAAGCAGAATAAGGAAAACAATCGAATCACAGAAGGAGTCAGCAACCAGTATGGCAGCGGATGGCAAGACTACAGTCTTCCAAGCTAAGACATTCAGCTGTACTTTCCTTTCTCTTATCTTAAAGAAATTCTACCTCTTCAAACAACTGCCAAAATCCTAACATCAAGAAAATGATTTACCCCAATTGTGACAATGGTGTAATTGTTACATTGTTTTCTGACCTGTAGGGCATGCATGTCACTCTAGGGCAAATAATAACTACTGCCAATTCAAGATTCTGACGTGTGAGGGTTACTGCAGATTAGCAATTCTTCTATTATCCAAACAGAAAATGTGTGAAGCTCATCGAGAAGTGATTCGCGTTCCACAATGGTTAAAAAATATGAAACCACCCACCTTGGCATTACCATCTTCTGCACTGGTTGAGTAATTGATGTACAGTTGCAGTTTGCCCACAAGTTCATGTTCAGGCTCTTTATAGATAGACCACCACCGCAACTTATCGACCTGCATTGAATGAAAATATTAACGAAAGAACCATCATTGCCACTGATCACATCTAGGTTCGAGGAATTACCGAATCTTCAGTGATGGTAGCAACTTGAGCAACAACACGACCAAAACTTTTCCCCTTGGAATCTTGGATTTCAACAATTAAATCATCCCCCAAGCTATCTGGAAAGCTGTAGAGTTGCCGGTGCTTATGATAAGCAAACTCAGTCTGGACAAGGACAAGATATTATACTGTATAAAGGGATAATTGTACATACAAAACATGGGTTTCACCGGATCCAGGCTGCATCTTGATGGCATCTTCATCTGCTGAGCTTTTTAGTCTTAACAAACAAGAGTATGTTTCTGAAGATAATTGCAAAACCAAGAAATGTCAGTAAAGAGGATAATGCAGAGGTATAAGTTATGGATGGCTTAGAACCAGCAATAACTTTCAATTTAAAATGGAGCAAAAACTCTTTTCAATCTTTCTTGAAAGAGTATTCTAATGAGTACGTAGATGACAGTAACAGTTGAACTTAGAGTAAAAGTAACAGGCAATCCCAAGGTAAGAGAATCGAGTTTCCAACTTTCCATACCTTGCACCACTTCATACGATGAAGAACTGTTACGGAGACTCGTTACACCAGATTTCAGAAGTCCAGACACTTGTTTTATATATTGAGTGCTAGCTTGTACATAAGCCAAGCTCTGGCGTTTAAAAGACCCATTTGCAGGAATACGAGTTGCGACATGAATTCTTCGGAACGCCTTCCACCCAGAATAGACTGATGACTGGAACCTGGAGAAACGATACTGGACCATTTCCAGTTTGGGTGACCTCAGAGCTAGAGCAGACATATTACAGCCAGTTGGAGGATCGAGCATTGTTTTCACTTTGCGGACTGAGAAAAGATTTCAAGTCGATTATACTAGTCAGCTCATTACCAGCACCTCAGAAATAAGAAGGAAAAGCAGGATATTATACCTTGCACCTTCATCTTTCCGATGATTTTTTTAGGCTTTGGAGCGGCCCCTTCAGCTGCAAGTTCACAGGAGCGCTTTGCTAATAATTCCTCCTCTGACTGCAAGAGCACATTCTGCACACTGCATCCAGGGGAAATGGGAAGTGAAAGGAAAATGAATCATGACATAATTGAAAAGTTGGGTACAACGAGTCTGGAGCACCCAGCTTAGCATATTTTTTTAGCTACAAGCAGTGTAACAAACAACATGTGACGATCAAAGTGAGTTCAATAAACATGCCACTTAATCTAGGTAAAACGATTTAGTTCTTAACCAATACACATTTGTACGACCAGTCTACCAAAGTCTACAGGAAGCTTAATTAAACACATCATTCATCCCCTTAATGGACCCATTACCATGCATCTTAAGGATGAGGGACAGTCCTCTCAATTATGACGTCCCAACACCATACATCCTATCCAGATGAGTTCAATGACAATGAACACAATATCTTAAGACTTCTCCATGTGATATCAGGGAAACAGAGAAGGGCAGAGAGGAGGAACCATAGCACACTAATGCTCTACTTCTATACATGTTGAAAGGCATATCGAGATAAATGTACATGATTCTAGAAATCAATCCACAACCAGAAAATCCATAAAAAATTAACATGCCACCTCATAAGCAAAAGGGTGAAACCATCGTTAGAAAGCAGAGCTCACATTGCTTTACATGCCATGTTCTGCATGTTGATGGGAATGGTACAAAAGAAGAAGAATCATGCACATACCAAAATGTCTCACGAAGCAGAGCACACTCATTCTCCAAGAACATAGGAGCCTCCATGCAACCCCTAGCCCAGGCATGCAGGCAAAGCCGCACACATCCATCATATGCAATTACAGCATGCCATGGCCCTAGTGCACTGCATACATTCAGATGCAATTAGAACATTTAAGAGATGCAGTAGCTGGCTTGCAGATTAATATGAATCACATATACCTCGCATGAAATGTTGGAAGTCGAGCTGGGTTTGAAGCAGAAGATATTGCTGGTTCGCCGCCTGTTGTTCTGTGAACAAAGACACCTTAAGTAAAAAATCCCCTTATCTCCAGACACTTAAATATAGCTTCTGGCTAAAGGGGCTGTCTCATGAAATAATTGTATTATGCATTTCAAATAAGTACAAACAGTAGTCAGTAATGAGCAAATATAGGAGTACTGTCACCTACCTCAGAACCTGATCTGGATCCTTGCTTCCCGTATTGTACTCCTGCTTAGAGAAACCGCTAGACTGTGCAGTCTGAGAGGTCTTCTGTAGTTCTGAAGTTGTTTCAGTGCCTTCTTTAATTTCTTGACCCGATCCAGAAAATGGAGGTGCACTTGGTACATCACCATCAAAAGAAAACTTCTTTGTCTGCACGTTCTTAGGATGAGAAACCTGCAATATGATTGCGCTTCGTTAGCAAAATAGATCTATGTAACTGAATAGTTCTCAATACAAGAACAAAAAATCACACCGAGCATGTCTCTACTTGCACCGTGAATGTATCTTTAAGCGGAGCAACAAATTGAAAATATCCAGACGAGTATCACATCAAGCATCCATCTCTTGCTCCACTACGGTTTCACTTACAATAAAACATAGTAAAATCATAATGAAGAAGTTCATCGAAACCGTCAAGGACTCTGAACCGGCAATACTGAGTCTAGCCTAAACAGTTCAACTATCTAGAATTCAGTATCAGCATCAAAAACTCACTTCCTGGTTCATAAGGAATAGCAGGCATTAAGTGTTTGAAGGAGGCATTCAAAGAATTCAAAGTTCCAAGCTCCTAAACAAACCGACCTTTGCTGCAACACTCTCTACATTGGCCAGGGAAGGTACACTGGATGCATAACCTTCAGAGAAGCGTAACCTACTTCCAGGTAAAGCACTATGAACACTTCCAGCTTGGGTAGTCGAGAACTCGGAGCTGGAAGCCGAATCAGACTCCTCATCGTCCTCCTCCGTATAAACACTCCTCCCACCGCCGCCGCCACCACGAAAACCACCCCCCGCCGCCGTCCTCCCACCTACATTCCCATTTCTCACCGGGACGGTCTCCATGGACGAACTAACATCGGAGTAGCTGTAATCAGTAGCGTAGCGGGGTCCCCTGGCGGCGGAATTGGCATACCTAGAGTTGGAATTAGGGAATTTCTTGTCGTCCTGTGGGGAGGAATCAAGCGAATAGCGCCCGCCGTAAACGTCGTCCTCGTCGGACTCAGTCACGTCATTTTCGGAAACGGACCTACTGCCGTCGTCATCAGCGGGGATAGCTCTGGAGACCGGGATTGCAGTGGTGGGGAGATGGCCGCTCCTGAACTTGGAGGGCGGCGGGAGGCGGGAGGAATTAGTTCTGGCGGAGATTGGGTCAATTCGCGGCCTCAGAACTGCTGAATGCGGCATCGGAGAAGAAGAAGCTTCTTTCTGGCTCTGGAGGGAAAAAAGAAAAAAAATACACGCACTGAGATCGGAACGAAATACTTCGAAGCCAAAATCAAACAGAATGAGGGAAGGGAAGGCTCACATTTTGAACCCAGCGAAGGGAATTGCTGTCGAGGCCGTCAGTGAACATAAGAATAACAACAATGGCGTTCACACTGCATCCACTCTTCACCTAAAGCCATTTGAGTGAGGGAAAACAAAAAAATTCAAAATCAACCCCTTCCACTGACTCCATTGTTAGTTAGTTAGCATTCACAACTCGAACTGAGAGTGAAGCTTGTTCTAGAAGAACACGAAAACAGTTTGCAAGTAAATTAGACAGAGAGAAAAAGAACGGAAACGAAGGGAGAAGAAAGTGAAGAACTCACTCGGGCATGAATCACAGATCAGGAAGAGAGCCCCGATGCGCGGAAAAAAGACACAGAGAGAAAGAGAGGAAACTGGAAAGGGACGGAATGGAAGATGGGGAAAAGAGGTTTTTGCTTAGGGGAGAAGGTTTCTGCTGCTTCTTCTGCTGCTGCGGGTGAGACTGAGGGACAGAGAGAATGGGAAGAAGGGCTGTAATGTGAATTTTTGTTTCTATTATTATTAATAAAAGTATTAAAAAAATTCCCCCCTTCTTTTTTTTTCAATAAATCTTCTTTTCTGCTAGATGAGATTATGGTATTTAACGATTTGTGCTCCTATATATTTGATTAGTTAATTAATTAATTTAGCGGTGGATTTAGTATGGGGTTGATGACTGAGACTGACCCAATAAAGGCAAATACCCACCGACCATCAGTTTTCATTCACACTATCGGATGGTGAATTCCCTTCCATACATAGTATTTACTTTTACTTATGGATCGGTTGGTAATGGGATTAAGGAATTAGGTAAATTAAATTTGGTTAATGAATGCAATTTTTATTTTTACCATATGGAAAAGAATAACCATCCGATAATAAGGGGCACGTAAGAAAATCGTGGGGGGGGGGGGGGGGGAGACGGGAAAGTAACGGGAAAAGGGGTCTGTTCTGTGTGTTTTCGAAAATCGGAACGTTGTTAGTGGGGACAGGAGACCCTTTTATGGTTTTTTTTTTTTTTTTTTGTTTTGTCGCGGCTGTTTGGCCAAACTGGCATGGGCGTCACATGGCAATACGACAACGTTGGACACGGGTCGCTCCTCTCTCTAACGGAAGTCTGTTGTTCCATTTAGGAGCCCGACTTCCAAATTGCGGGATTTTTTTTACCGTTTTCTCGTAATACAACAGTTACAGCAATGAAAAATTTAGGGTAAATACAATTTAATATCCAAACCTTTCATTTTAAACAATATAATAACCAAACCTTTTCAAAAACAATCTAATATCCAAATCATCAACTTTACGTTCGTTTGACCGTTAGTTGACACTTCAAAAAAGCTTTGTTTATGTGAAATTGTCACAATACAACTTTGTTTCTTGTTTTGGCATTGCAGATGCCTGAATATTTAGATATTCTATACCATCATGGTGGAGTCATGGACTTCTCGGGTTTGGAACTACGATATGTTGGGTGTTTTTCGGAGAAGATATCGATGGATATTGATGAAGTGTCGTACTTCGAATTTTTTTGAAGTGTCAACTAATGGTCAAACAGACAGAAAGTTGACGATTTGGATATTAGATTGTTTTCTAAAAGGTTTGGCTATTATATTATTTAAAATAAAAGGTTTGGATATTAAATTGTATTTATGCTCATGTTATAACTTATAAATTTTGGACTAAATGGTATTGTTGGGATTCGCAAATGATTTTGCTATGGTTGCTTAACAAAATCAATGAACATTGCAGCTATCTAGTAATAAACTTGATGGAAGCCTCACCCACTGATTTCTACCTACTATATATAAAAAATTTAGCAGACCATAACTTTGCGCTCGGTAATTTGATCAATGTCAAAATATTGATTTCATCATTATGTAGATCTCAAAATTGTTAAGCGAAATCTTAGAAATTGCACTGATCAAATAATCAAACATAAAGTTACGCCGGTCTACAGTTCCGACCTATTATAAGAGATCATATTTTCATAATTTAGAGATTTTGAGGATAGTTAATAGGAATATTTTCATTTTCCAACATATATTATAAAAAATTACCGCCAACAAAATTTGTAATTCTTGTAAATTAACACAAAATAGAAATTTGTGTCGATCAGATAATCAAATACAAAGTTATGTTCATCTGACCTTTTACGTATATTTAGGGATGGCAATCAAATCCATGACCATGGGTATCCGACCTCTCACGATTCAGTGAATGCAAGAATTCTCCGCATTGACTAAGTATGGGGCTGGTATATGTAAAACACGTAAAATGTTTGATGGTTTTAACCTTCCCTGCCACATACCCATATCCGCCCCATCAAAAGCATTTCTTCACAACTATTAGTCATTCATCACTCTTTCACAATTTAGAAGCCCCCGTCCAACTCAATTTTGCCTTTCCCATTTTAAGTCATTCTCGTCTAACACCTAATTTCTTGTTATTTTCATAACACAAAAACACTAGTATTAGTCTTCTCTCAACCTTAGTCAAATTAAAGATTACTAATGACAAGAATTTGAGATGTCACCTCTTCTCCATTCTCCTTATCCCTATTCTAGCTCTAGGAAAACTCAAGACTCTTTGCTTAATCTCTTTGCCCTAAATTAAACAATCAAATCTAATTTATATATTTAATTATTAATTGTAAAGGTAATTTATTTCGTATTTGATAATACCAATTGGGATACCGAAATACTGATTGGGATACCAAAATATTTAGGAATTTGGATTGGGATACCGAAATTATTTAGGGATTGGGATTGGGATTGGGATTGATTTTAGTGTGTAATTCGATATTTGGGATTTCAGTATTTGGTATTCGAATAACGATACTATACCGATTTCCACCCCTATTGTTAACCATGGGTACCCAAAACCCACAAGTATGAGGGTGAGTTTGCAAAACCTTCTCCCATATGGATATGAGTATGAGGCGTGGTATAGATTTGAATCTACATCTACACAATATAATACTGAATGGCTAAATGCCGCTCTTATTTTACTACTATCGCCCTAACTTAAAATATAAAACTACTAAATTGTCCTTCATTATTTAAACAAAATTCAATAAAAAATATATCCCTTAAAATCCCTAATCCTTCATCAACACTATCACCTCTCCTCCTTCGTCGTTCCTTCCTTCCGCCGCCGCCTACACCCCTTCTCCCCATTGGCGGAGCCATGTTGTTGGTTGTGGGGTCAATGGACCCCACTTGCAAGGTAAGGCCATGTCTAAAAAATGCAAATTTTCAAGGGAGGAAAAGGAGAATTGAACTTTGGACACCATGCTCCAAACTAAACACTTTTACCATTAAGACATGAGTCGTATTTGATTAATACTTGGACCCCACAATACTAATTTTCTGGCTACGCCAATGCTTCTCCCCAATTCACCGCCGACACCATCCACCCATTCATCGTTCCTCCTCCCCTTATCTCTGCCGCAGTTCCTTCTCCCTAGTGCGTATCCTTTCCCTCTCCCTTCCTCACACAACTCAATCTTCAAGTTTCTATTTGCATTGGATTATTGTAACCGTTGTTTCTATTAGCAGTTGAGTTCAAAAGCCAAAGTCAGAATAAGCGATTTGACACCTCAGCCTCCTCTCGCCAGCCCGCAGAGTTCGGATGGGCATAGTTGTATTTTCATCTCTCCCCGTAAACCACTTCACTTAATTTAACTTTTCATTTTCCTTTTTTCATAATTTTATTGGGGAGATTTTACCTGCATTTACACTGTGTTGCATGCCTGCATCCATGTGGTGATTGATGGGTTGACCATTGAGCTTGGATTAACTCAAGGTTTTTTCATATTGTTTATCTTTCTAAAATTGTTTATAATGATAAATTAAAAAACAAGAGAGTTCTAGGAAAATGATATCTCAATTTTTCATCCCTAGGATACCAATATTCTTTCAATAAAAAAAAGATATCAATATTAAATCCACTCCATCTTTCATCCATCTAAACAACTATGTCGATAACCAATGAAATTGTGTTTTTTTACTCAGTCCAAGCCGAAACTCACATCTCCCATTACTATGTCGCTAGCAAACAGGTTAATTCGTTCATGTTTTTTTCTCATATGACTAAAATCTCAACTGTGATTATCATTGTCCGTTCCAGATAAATGACTTTGCGACTTCACATGAACTTTGGAAACGACTTTCAGTAGACAAAGTGTAGAAGTTTCCTTTGAGGAAAAAAATGATCATCTTTTCAACTCCTGCTTAAAATTTTCATGTAAAACATAATTATAATATAATGATGATAAAAGGAATCGGTATGGAGTCACTGGCTATAATTTATTTACCTTGTATATAAGGTTCAAAAGTTTATGCACATGTACGGTCACATGTAGTCGTTGGAACTCTTTACAATTAAAATTTTCAAATCAATCACAATTTGGGAAACTATGTTTCCCAAACCACCACAATTCCACACTTTTTTTTAATGAATTCCACACTTTTTACACGTCCTATATTAGGGAAAAATCCAAAAGTACCATCGTTAAATTTTTTTTTACTAAACTGCCACCCAACCCAAAAAATTTACAAAACTACCACCATTAATCAAAAACCGCACCCCGAAGGGGCGGTTCTCCTTCAAATCGCGTGGGGAAGGAACGACTCACAAATAAACCGCATATGCTAAGGCTGTGGTTTCTTTTATATGGTCAAACCGCCATCTAAGGAAGCGGTTTCTATGGTTACCCTAGCAAAGCCGCGTGCTCGGGGAACAGTTCTTTGTCGGCAGCAGAAACCGCACCACAAGCATGCGGTTTATAATGTCGAGGCACAAACCGCACCCCCTACGGTTTAGGTAAGATGAGTACGTACCGCTTGATAGTCATCATAAAAATACCCTCTTCTTCGAAAATATCCGCCATTTTTTTCAGGAAGTCGGACAGGGATTCGACATATTTTGAAGGAAAACCCAAAGAAAATTTTTCTGATGCCAGTTCAGACTTAGCCGCAACCAAGAGATCACTATTTCCTAGATTTTTTTGGTGGAGAGTGAGATGGTAGAGTGATAAACTTAGAGAGAGAGAGAGAGAGAGAG